CTCATTTACGATATTTAATATCAATCTATATATTATTTTAGATTTTAAATTTGGATACGTAATAGTAATACCTACAGTGACAATTAAAAGTTTCAAGTTAAACAAAGTAAATTGTAGGTAATTGAGAACATATTAATTTTCCCGTATATTTTATTTAAATGTACGCTTAGTTATGATTCTACATAAACATCATTTTGTACATTTAAATAAACACCGCAAACGATCTTTTTCTTTTCGTGTAAGTGGTAAAAATATCATAACTTTCGTATTTTTCATGTAGGTAAAAAATAATATACAAATTTTCCAATGTATTTCATTTATATACGTCGCTTCATAGATAAGGAGCGTATATGGAGATTATTCCATGATTTTCTTTGTTTGCAAACGTCACTCAGTTTGAGCTGTCTGACGTTTGTAAATAAGGAAATATTAATATTATATGATAATAATCTCCAAAAAGGCTCCTTCGCCATGATGCGACATACGTATATTATTTTACATAATAAACACAGCCAACCATCTTTCCATTTTTGTCGTAACTATGTCGTAAAATACTTTTGTCTAAAACCAGTCTTGTTTTTGACCTACTGTTGACTGTACATAAATATAAAAGAAACAACAAAAATCTAGAAAAAATCTGCGAGACATAAGGTCTCGCGGACTCAGCCTTGTTGCCCAAATCTTGCAGGGTTGGTCCATGATCTTGCTACAATTAGGTGGTCTTAGTCTTTTATTTTTGCAAGACCATGACCCTGCGTTACTCTTGTCATGGCCTTGCATTTGGGCAAAGCATACTACGAAACAAAAAAGGTTATTAAGGGTTTAAAATTTAAATTCAAGAGTATATAGTACATACCAAATATTATATATAGTAAATATTATATTGCTTATTGTCGAAATCAGTCAAAATGTTAAGACACTAGGTGGTAACATACACGACTCTAGGTGCATGCCCTTTTCCTGTTATCTGTGATCGGCGCTGCATGCCTTCCTCTTATGTTGTTTTATCAAGTGACGGGACGAACAAGTCATGACGCTTGGTAGTAAGAGACACGCCTGTCGATAACAGTTGCAGTGTCGCTCAGCTTTAAGTCGCAAAAATCCGAAGGGCTAGTGGGCTAGTGCACTGCACCGGCTACCCTGAAATATAAGTTCAAAAGTCCCATGTGCCTGTAATTTCACAAGCGCCCTTACACTTCAAATTCGAAACGCAGTAATGCCCACATTACTTTTTGACGGCAGAAGTAGGTAAGATTACTACAGTTCCAGTACTTCCTTCGACGAACTCTTTCACAAAGAGCTCTACTGCTTTTAATTGCAGATATAACTGTTTTCTTCCGAACACGTTTCCTTTTAACAGCTAACGAGATTTTATAGAGTTTTTCGGTCAGGTTTAGAATACATCAAATCTAAGTTCAGGTTTTATAATCAAATATCGTTAAATTCACCGACAATCCCAAAACGTTTTGCCTTTCGTTTTTGTCGCAATCTGTCGATGAAAGATGTCTTTGAACTTCTCTCGATCGATATTCGTAGCGAACTTGAACTGTACCGTGTAAATAATGAGAAAACCTTCGTTCACAAACTATAAGCCACGTTTTCATTAAAAAAATGTTGGTTTTTTTGGACGTACAGCTTATTACAGTTTATTCTTAACAAGAGGCACAGTCTGGCGGAACATAACTGTATAACATAATAACGTCTTTCGAAGTTAAAAGCGTGAGTAACGGTTGAAATTATTAGTAGTAGTTTTATATGCTGCATGTAATCAAACGAAGCTTTCTATAAAATCAATCTTAAGTAATTTTTTTTTTCACTTTATATGTATTATAAATTTATTCAAACTATATGCTAAGTTAGAGGAGATTAATTAATTTTTTAATTAATCGGTTAGTTACGTTCGTAAAATAATATTTTGACAGTCATTAAGAGTTAATATAACACCTATATCCGACGATAGCACTCAACTAGTATTCAAGTTCAAAAACAGATGAATCCTATAAAAAGAGTTATTAGTAAAAACTTTGTATATTTTATTCTGTTACACTTAAACAATGATCAGGAATTATATATGATGACAATAATGCATTACCAAAATCCTGTGCTATTGAAAACCTGTGAATTCGATAAGGACGCCTTCAGTACTAAAGGTGCACAAAAGGAACTTCCCCGCACGATGTACCATTCCTTTCTTGTACGTGAGACGCACCCTGAGCAACAATCGGCGAATACCTTACGCCGATTGGCAAAACCATCCATCACGATGGCAAGCATTATAGTGTAACCCATCGATACGATAAGAAGTACCAAATAATATCATTGAAAAACGACAAAATCACGTTACATACCAATTTCTAAAAAAAAACTACTTGAATAAGTATAAAAGACGACTGACGCGGCGGTTAGATGGACGTCGTGTTTTTGCAGTAATTTCTTGATAACAAAAAATCTCATAACCATGTTTCGATGGATGATTTTGGCACATAATAATAGTTAGTAGTATAAAAATAGCTTTTAGGTATTTGCTGTAGTATTTCCTTTATGAAAACAAGTAGTTTTGTAGTTAGTTTAATTTAATTTGTATTAATTAGCATTGTAAGTTTCCGATGCAACTGTGAAGTAACATATATGACATTTTTATATAACATTTTGTGTTATCATCGCCATTCCGCACCAATTTCTCGATTTTAATTTATATTAGTGTGTGTGTGTGTGTGTGTGTGTGTGTGCCTGTTTGCTAGTGTACTTGAAGTGTACAGTGTGTCATGTTTGTTTGTGAGTTTTAACGTATGTAAATGTAATAGGTACCAATAAAATACATACACATAACAAACAAAACAACACAAATAAATCAGCGAAGCTGATCGTAAAGACATTTGATGTCGTGCATGTGATTCATAAGTGTGCAAGGAAGTTTTCGAGTTATAAATTATAATAAGTTATAAATGGTCATAAAAAAATGAAAATTATTAACTTTTCCAAATAGGGAGTTACTGAGGTCTGTCGTTTGTTTTTGCCAATTTATTTTAATCCCAAAAAAGATTTTAATATTCAAGACAATAATGAACTCGTATTGTTTGTAATTTTTGGAAAGCTGTGAAATGTGTGAACAATATCGCTCTGCGAAACTCTTTGCTCGTAAATAGAACAAAGTGTCGTGCCGTTGCGTTTTACCTTAAATGTGATAGAAGAATATGAAAATAATATTTGAAAAATAAAAAGAAGTCTCAGCATTGCACATTCTCTTATCAGGATCAGCTAGTTGATTAAGTGCATTTCAGTTCTCTTTGCATCAAAAATGCGCACAATTTATGATTATTTTATAAACCAAATAAAATTTTACAAATACGAACCACTTTCTTTTGAAATTTGTGTAATTTACTGTTTAGAAATGTTTAATGTATTTTTTTTTAACAAAATGCTCAAAGAGTGTAAACGGAAATCCACTTATAAAGGTAATCATAATGCATGTAACAGCTGCCACAGAAACCAGTCATAATAATTTGTTATAACTCTGTTTGTATGTTTTGATTATATAATTCATTATGCTTTTTGAAACTGGTGCAAAGTTTGTAAACTTGAGAATATGTAATTATGATAAAGTACTCTCGTGTACATTTGTAATAAAAAAAATACCACGCTCTGTAATTTGTAAGGTAATATTTCGTGAGGTAGTGTGTGTAGAACTGCGTTTCGATAAACCTGCCTATTGTTTTCATAAACGTATTTTAACTCACGAAACATTTAATTTCGTATTTTACAGTATATTTTTGTTAATGTATGTATAATTAAAAATAAATACACGCAGAAGTACATGATATAGAAACAGTATGAAAATATGAAGGAGCTGTGGAGAAAACAGTCATATTATATCAAAAATAATATTACACACAAAGAAGTAGACAATAGACAAACTTAACACTAGACGAAATTTTATGGATATTGAATGCAATATTATACGAAGAAGGTTCTTTGTATTCACACAAAACATGAGCCCAAAATGTGCTCTTTACAGAAAAAATATCAGGCGAAATTTGTTTACATCTATAAAAGGTAAGAAGAATTAGATATCGCACCAATTCACGTAGAATCCCTGAAATATTACACAAATACAAACTACAGAACACCATTTCAAAATGTGTAGAAGCTTACAGCTAACACGTGAATTGCACCAATTTCAAAGTGTAAGGGTAGTGTCGCCGATGGTTGATGGAAGCGATGGTAGTAATGTACAATGTTCGCAAGACTGCTATTATTTCGCTATGAAGTAGTCGGAGTACATCCAAATAAGTTGTGTTTGTTAGTACAGGGGTGAGGATCTAAACACATAAAGAGCTCGGGCAGAGGGTAGGGGGTTGGTTAACAGATGAAAGACGCAGACAAAGGGTAAGGAACACATAAAAGGGTAAGTTTATTTGAAGCTAAATTTGCGTGTACGCTGGAATTCTGCTCGATTGACAATATACAACTCGCGTCTCTATTCACATATTTTACAGTCCCTAAACCTAACGTTTGTGTTTTTACGTTTTGCGTGAAAGCGTAAATGATTTTCCTAAGTTTTATACAGTATAACAAAAGTATACCATTGTATATATGTGAACTATAATATAAGCACAGTAGACGAGACAAATAAATATTACAAAAAATACGTTTGTGACTGCGGCAAATCATATTCGGAACGAGGTGTCGCGATTGCCGCGCCCGCGGACGGCGCGTGATTTACGATGAAACATGGGCGGATTTTGTCGCAGCCACACGAGAACATTCAAGACAAACATACAGATGTTACATACACATAGAGAATGAAACGAATACAGACAAAGGAGTAAACGAAAAGTAAAAAAGCTTGGTGGCGCCGTTTGCGTGGCAGCGCCTACTAGTAATGGCGATGGCACGCTGCGGGCGCCGGCATCACACACATATGCAGGAGTCGCAACAAAAGGGAAGAGGTCAACAGATACTGAACACTGAGGGGCGAGGGCGGGCTGACTGACACTTACCATGGTGTAAAGGAATTCCAGAACGCGCTAGGAGTGGCGGACACACGGCGGCACAGGGACACAGAAAGACAGGACAGATTACTACACAGATACCTACATCCCTCAGTGCAACCCCACCCCGTCTTTGCAACCGCTCCGGCCGATTGCTGTCTACATTGGTTACTTGCGTTGTAACATTTGCTTAACGAATCCAATTTTGTGACGCATCGGCTTGAACACGAAGCCCGTTTGCATTAGAACAACACCACCACTCACAACGAATTTTGCAATGAATTTCTAAAACGTTTGCTGTAGGTTGCACCAAGATTACTTGGAGTACTTACAAAACACATGCTGGATAGTTTAAGCATGACCTCTGTTAGGTGTTACTTGGGTTAAAAAACAAATGCCATAACGCAATATAACCACTCTAGACATTTCAACTCAAACAAAATAGTGAAGCGGCTCGTGTTTTAATGCAAACAAACTTTTGAGGCGCTTTTGCATATTAAGCGAGGTGGGTTGACTACTATTGTTTTTCATTTTTGCTTTGTCTTTTTATCTACTTTAAATAACATAAGTAGTTCCTTGTCGATTTTTAAGCGCAAAGAGCAGTTAAAATTATTTTTGATTCAAACTCTAATCATGAGAGGCTCGCAAGATAAGTAGGTGCCTGTGCAAACTTTTGACACAATTTGTTTTAATGTTATCAACTTTGCAGACGATGTCTCTCATGATTCGAGTACAATTACGAACAATCTTATTCAAATAACTTGTGACTTTCTGAACGTTAAGACAAACCAAACTGTTCGAAGCACTCGAGCTTTCGTCCATCGTTTATTTCCGTTGTTATTACCATAAGACGCATTTTAGTTTTGTTTAGACAAACAGGTAGGGTTAGACACACACAAGGGATAAACATTAGACAATACACAACACATCGGATCTGGTGTGAAAACTAAATAATACAAAAAAAAACGTAAACTAAATAACATGAAGTAAATAATGGTTAATGATAAAAACATAACCATGCTAGGATTGCAAATGAAAACTCAATATTTATTTACGCGAGAAAACAGAGGAAAATCAAAACACTTCCACCAGATGACAAAATAAATTGTAAGTTATGAAATTATTGTCGTCAATTAAATTAAAATAACCACACCAAATCCTCGGAGAGGTTTAGGAAGATGAGCGGGATCAATAATGGTAGGGTGCTAGTTCCTACATTATACTTTGTTATGAATTTTGTTTTTCTTCTTACGGATTTACATAATAGTACGGCGATGATATCACGAATCTAAAATCATTGTAAAGTGCAAATATTAATTCATGAACTGTGCAAAATCGGTAGGTCAGTCCTAAACCAATTTTGATGTAAAGGATATTGTTGAATAGTTTCCATGAGAGTATCACCATTGATCACAGCCATTAGACATGTGGTATTGACCAAAAATTTGAACGATATCCTTTACGTACATGAAGTGATTTGGTGTTCGTTAAATATTGGACAATTCAGGTTGTATAAAGAGCACTTACCTCTCGGAATACTCGTCCATGTGAGCGTAGCTTTGTACCGAATTTTCTTCGATGAGGAACTTGACGCGTTGGTAGAATGATGCGGTGACAGACGGAGGTTGTTTTCGCAGTAACACTTCGACAGGGTCATTGGACGCTAGACACATGATGTGCTCGGTGCATTCCGGCCGGCTGCAGCACTCCGAGTCGGAACAGTCCGTCATTCCATCTTCAAAGGTAGTGGCATTGTCAGATGATTGATAATCACTTGTAGTTTACAGCTGATTGGGAAAAGAATTCTTACCTTCATCATTATCTTCGTTATCATTGCAAGAGAGTTCAAGTGCGATGGAACAATCGGTGCCAGCCCAACCATCAGCGCATGAGCATCTGTAGACTCCATCCTCGAGAAGACATTGACCGTGACGAGAACAACCGTTCGGGCAACCAGCTGCACATACGTATGGTTTATTTAATAATCGACTCTGTTAGTAGTTAGTACCCTTTCAAACTTTTCAATTAGTTAAAGTCATTTACCAAAGTACACGTAGGTATATAATATTCAGTACTTATGGTAAAACTTACGAAGTGTGCAGTGTCGACCATTCCATCCTTGAGTGCAGACACAGGTGCCGTTTTTACACTGGCCGTGATCCTGGCAACGTTGGTCACAAGGCCGTTGGTCGCATCGTGCGCCCGTCCACCCTTCGTCACATCGGCACACGCCTTCCGCACAAACTCCGCGGGGACCACAATCCAGAGAACACACCACTACAAAAGATAAATAAAAACCGACATGTAATTCATTGTAGTCATGTAATTTTGCTGAAAAATGTACATGTGTCGCAGTTTTATGCAGGTTTTGATTCCTTCAAAGGAAAGAAACACCTTGGTTCGTAATTGATAATGAAGCTTAAACAATCCCGATAACGAGACTTAAATTAAATTCTTATCCATAATTGATTGGAAGACTAAATAGAGTTCAACCTTGAGAGCAATCATCGCCAGTGTATAAAGGGTCGCAGACACATCTCCCGGCGTCGAGGTCGTAAACACCTCGCTGTGAGCACGCGGGCAGACAGCGCTGCACGCGCGCGTCGCGCTCGGTGCACGCGGCGCCGCGCCATCCAGCACGACACACGCAGCGCCCGCGCACGCATGAACCGTGACCGCCGCACGTCGGATCCAGACAATCCTCTGTGGAACGGGATACTTTTGACCACAATTTTCAACAAAAAATAAACTAAAGCGAAAAAGATGGCCACTGAGACTAGAAAGAAAATATTTAAAATTTTGATTGCATTTGTTATTTTGATTTGAAGAAAGTCCAAAATTAAGAAACGATCGCATTGCCAAAACTATTATTTACAGATATTATCGACATCATTGGTATGATGTCGATAATATCTGTAAATAATAGTTTTGCAACATAACAAATTGAATACATATTACATACCTTCATCGCATTTAGGTCCTTTCCATCCAGCGTTGCATTGACAATGACCCGCGACACACACTCCTCGTCCAGAGCAATCGGCAGGCTCACAATCGTGAGAGGGAACATCACACTCAGCACCCTTCCACCCTTCTGAGCAATGACATATCCCGCCTGCGTACGCACCATGCCCAGAACATAGTACCGGACATACACCTAAAATAATGTTCGTTTATATAATTTTGTAGCATACTTGATATTGAAATGGAAATGTCGTCATTGAAGGCGTTATCTTACTTTTTGAGCAATCGTGTCCTTCGTAGCCGTCCATGCATTCACATTTTCCGAGGTAGCAAGATCCATGTCCAGAACAATCATCAGGGCAAGAATTTGTAACGCCTTCAGCTTCGGACACTATCATCTCGACACTATGCGGTTGTAGTTCATCATTGTATATAGAAATAAACCATCTTCCTGTGTCAAGGTACTGTAAAATACTGACATTGACCCTCATGTCGGCAGATCTCCTAGTTATTGTATGGTTCCATCGACGCATTGGGCTATTCGTGCTTAATAACGTATCCCAGTCATCAAGGCCATGATCATTCGAGTCATGTTTGTGAGGACTTCTTCTTCTTCTGAGTCTGTGGTCGACCCTACCGCCTCGAATAAATTCTACAAAGTCGTACTGGGTAACGCTTGGTGCCACGTTTCGTCTGCCATATACAGCGAAGTTGGCGCCCCATGGTACCGTGAAGTTTAGGCTAACATATGCGGGTTGTTTGTTGCGGAATTCTGAACTCCAAAATTGGTAAGCAGGTATGGTCGCACTATGTAATTCGTCAAATTCTCTAACTTCCAGCGCTGGTGACCAGGGTGGAGGCGCTGCTTGTTGTGCTTGCTGCGGTATGATTGCTGACTCTAACGCAGCTTCTGCTGTTGTTGACCAACCCAGCGATGACGTTGATATTGATTCTACAAACAAGCAATATGAATCATAAAGTAATACTATACTATAGGTCATAGGTATAGGAGGTAGTATTCTACCTACTAATAATACTAATAGCAAAAATAATCATAAACTCTTTGAAACCAAATGAGCAGGTTAAATTATTAAGGAAACTTACCGTCTGAAGGTGATGATGTTGATAGTGCATCTCTAATCCCTTGTGCATGTGTTACTGCTTTCACATCTTGAACCAGGATGCAATTTGAATTGTCTATATTACTTTTAATTGACGATAATGCTGAAACAAGAAAGGTGATTCCATTACACAACTGTTCTTTTAATCCAAGCACCCGGACGCTCGCTCGTAATTTATAAAACTTTTCTCGCTTAATAGAATATTATGTCCTAAGCTTCCAATCATTTCTCTCGATCTGGACTTCCAATTAAGTTTCCGTTAAGTTAGACTCTTATCGACGGCCCACATCGATAATGCCCAGTAGCCGAAAGGTAATTCTATTACCGTTCACACGGGTGTCGTTTGGAATGACATGTATTACGAAACGCGACACAAAGAGATGTCACACGAGTGACGTTTGAGAGGTGCGTGAATGGGCGGTGTAGGTGACGCGACATCCCATCTAGGTTTTAATTAAGCGAAGCACGGTAGAGGCGCATATTATGGCAATGTGACGAAGCGATTGGTTCCGCTGCCGCGGGCCGACTCGCTCGAAGCACGTAGGTGGCTCGGCGACACCCAAGTATTTCTTGCTGCAGGAGAATTCTGTTGTCTCCTCATTATGCGACAGTTGCCGGCGATCGGATCGTTTGAATGCTGCGCTGCGCAATATAATTGGATAATTTTTCACGGTGCTAACTAAGAAGCGCACGGGCTCCAGGGAGTGACAGTCCGGTTCCTTAGCTGATACGATTTGTTTTTTATATCCAAGGAGCCACTGAAGCGGAAAATAGCAGCTTTCAAAGCGACTTAGGAACCGTTACAGTAGATTTTATCTTCATATTTTCGTAGAGGACTCGGATTTCAATTCTCAGTCGGAACGTTTTAACGTGAAATACCTACACGGGTAAACAGAAAATTGCAAGGGAGCAAACAAACGGCGCCTGTATTGTAATGTAAAGAGAATTTATTGTGTACATTTATTAGTTTTGTGAGAAAGCCGCGAGGCTGGGATTTGTGCTCCGATGGGGATGCGATGTTTATTTATTTCGGAGCGTGCGCAGGATGTACGCCTAATATGTTGCGCTGCATGCGTTAAAAGCTGTGCGTCAATCTTTATAGATTTATATCCCGTCAATTAGAAGTTGCCCTAATTGGTTTCCCTACTAATTTGTTAACAGAAATATGGTAAACTACATGTAAATATCAGCCCGTAAGTTTCATTTTATCAAAATTCATAAATGTATCAGAAAAATAAATACAAAACTCTTTGGTTTTACTTTTAGATGTCGAGAAATATGCGATGCATCTCTACCCGAGGCAGACATGAAGAGGATGGTTCGGAGTGTTTTCCATAATTCGTGCGCTAGCCCCGGTGGTGTCGCAGCAATTAAGTTATCGTTCGTCCCCCGGCGATCGCGTCTATCCCCAAGATTTACTCGCAGATAGGGATCGCGATGCGTTGACGCCATTTGGCCGTTTGCCTCAGAATTGGACAATTTACATTATGCTAACTCGGGGGTCCATAGTTTAATGACATCTCTTATCGGTCACTAATCAGCATAAGTGAGTAATTTATATTCCGCGTCAAGCGATGTCGTGAGTATCGATTTTTAAATCCCGCTGTCTAAATAAGATAAGGCAATGCAATGTAAAATAGTACTGGCAAAAGAATAAAAATATATATTGGCATTCCGTTTTGTTATGACAGCAGACTGGATATGCTGATTTCTGGTTTGGAAATGTCCATGTCAAATGTCAAAAACTGTGCTTGTATTTATTGACCGCACATTGTGGAAAAAAAAAAATTTGCGGTCCAAAGGCAAACGAAGAAGTTAAATGTTATAAAAATCAAACTTTTGCATTTGTTACCTATTTGTGTTATAAATAAAAGCTCATCTCATAAACAATAACAATGGCAGTAGAAAGATAAACGGGCACAGATGACGTAATTTCCGCCCACGCAAATGAAATATGGCAATGTGGTAAGTTGCGACTTTTCGAGATGATCCCTCGTAAAATCTATAAATTTTCGCCATAGAATGGCTCTGCGCGTAGGAAATGGGGGTACTATCGGCGACGAGCGATGCACGAGACGATTGTGTGCAGATGGACGATGTTTGCTATCTCTACTATTTTTCGAGTTAATACAATTTATTGTAATACGATTCAGCATAGATTGCATCGTGCGATGGGGGAGCGAAACTCGTTTGATGGAGTCCCGGGGGACAGCGGCGCGCCGTCGCACTGACTCGGTATTAGTCACGTGATAAATCTTCCTGGTGCTCGTATGTGTTGCCCTATCTCTTTCCATTATTTACAGCGTTTCATAGCACTGTCCTTGTCTTTTATAATATGATCCATATTCGCAGGAGGGTCGAGTTCTGTGCCCCATTTTATAAGAAGCGCGGACAAGTACAAATGTGTCAGCTAAGTGTAAATTTTACACCCAAGTCTAATTGAAAAACGTTATCTAACACCAAAAAACGGGCGTGAGTAGAAAGAATGTACTATTTATATTAGTTAAAGCGATCATGATAGTTGCCTTTAGATCAATGACCTGTATGATGAAAATGGTCAATGTTTATAACAAAAAAAAAAACAGCGAAGATGAATCTTTTAATGCCTGGGTGCTCACTTTCTTAGACTCATTTATTTTCTATCAGGATACTTAAATGCTAGCCATAGTCACGTTTTGCATTGACTGTGATTGATCTGTTGTGATCATCACTTCTCAGAACACTAAACGGAGTATGAAATATGAAGTATGCTCATAACAGCGTATATACACCTTGAAAAACAAAGGATGTAAGGTCAAGGAAGATACATTTTTGTATTGAGTCGAATCGGCCACAAAAGTAGCGAGAATGTTGTACATGCATTGGAAGTGTGATGTGATGGTAATACAGATCAATTTATTGTGGTGTTAAAAATTATGATGTTGCCCTATTGATCGTTGTGTCCACGCAATATGTGGTGCACTTTACAAGCATTAACGTCTGCCATGCAAGCTTTAATAAAACATTTGGGGTCCTCACAATTTCATTTCAAAGTGCGTAATGAAGGGTGCAACAGATGGTTCACATTTTTTCATTACACTAGTAAAAAATCGACGCAAAAGCAGGAGATTTATGTCGGATTAAACTACAGAATTACTTTTTATTCGGTACATATCCGGACCACCAGGAGGCGTGACCGACAAATATTTTATTATGTTCTGAAACCCAATGATTACAGGACAACAATGATTTATGTGCCATGGAAATATAATTAGTTGAAGATGTTATTTAATTAAAAAAAATATTGACTAGAAATTGAAGATTTTCATAGAGATATAAAAATTGCTACTTTTGATGTTAATAGACGTACATACAAGGTAAAGAAGGTATAGAGATAGAATGGATTTTGCATTTTTTATAGAATTCAAGTCATTACGAGAAATCCCCAAATGAGCGCAAATATTTATTGCCCATAACAGTACCTTTAACATACATGTAAGAACCCTCGGATGAAATATCAAAAGAAGTAGATCCAGTCATAACGGCTCTGATTAGAAGTACTATTTATTTGTAATTCTCGTTGACAAAATCGATTGATTTCGGAATATCTCACGGAAATCTAAATGCGGTCATTCAGATCCTCATAGCTCAGTTAAAGATAAACTTATTCCGTTTTGAAGTGTTCGCCGCGCTACGGAATCAGTATGCGACACACGTCTCTTATCTGCTGTCCTTTACACTTTAATGGAAATCTAAATGAATTGAGATCCGATACGATAAGCTCCATTGACTTGAAACACCTTATATTGGAGCCGGTTCATTACATTACTGAGAAGGCGTTGAAACGTATGAGATTTATTTTATTGCCATCTAACTACTTATATATAGCTTTTTCTTAAATTTAATACTACTTGAGAAGTAGCGCCTAGTATAGATAATGTTAGAGGATATTATCAATCGGAGAACGCGAACTCAATGGTCATACGACATCTACGTGTAAAATACAGTTATAATAGTGTATCTTTTTTGAAGATGGAGTAAAATGACAGTTCAATGCGTATTGCCTGCTTGCAAGCAACTAGTGATTGTAGTCGATAAATATTATATCGACTTTCGACTGAATATCTGCCCTGAACTGCCTCCGTGGCCGAACGGTTACCATGAAGTCCATCAGGCCACGCTGTGGCCCCGGGTTCGATTCCCGGGCCGGGAGAAATATTTGTTTGGCCTATATTTATTTCTCTCGTGAGTTGGGTGTAATTTGTGGTTGTCTATGTGTGTGTCCATGGCATCCGCGACACAGATTTTCAATAGTGCGGGGTTATGACTGTGTGTGTTATAATGTTCGTCATGTTTATTCAATAAATAGCCGAACTTGTTTCATTTGAATCATCATCGGCCTATTATTTGTCCAACTGCTGGGCACAGGTTCATCTAAATTGTCAATTTTTGTCAGTTCATACATATACTTATATGTATGTACGCTGCGTTTAGATTTATGTCTATTAAAATATATAGAGGAGACGAATTTTAAAGTTTTTTATTTTAATTCAATATAGATAATCTAATCCACCTGTTCTTGTTATAAAATGTATACGAACAAAAATTTATTTCGATACTAGTAGGCCAGCTGTCAAATTAAGAATACTAATAATAATGATTAATAATGCAATTAGTTATCATTAGAACATCGTAACATTTCAATTCAGACATAATTCGCCAAATTTTACATTTTTTCACAATCTATTGATAAAAGTATTGACAAAAACTACATGATTATTTAAATTTTATGAAAACTGGCAACCCTGCCAATTTTATTTTACTCCGTCATCAAAAAATACATTTTTTAAAGACTATGCGAGCACATACTGGATTTGAGTACATGAAAGTACTAAGTAATGAAACAATGTGTACACAGTTACAATTTTTAATTGTAACAATCGGCACCCCGCTGCCGAAACTGTTCAAGTATTTAGGCAGCCAGCACATAGCGTGTTAGAAGCACATTATTTAGTGTTTGTTGAAACTGTTTAATAGAGCTGTGGGTTAACTTAAATTGAAACGGTAGTTTAGGCGAGGCATGGGAGCAGTTTAAATTATTTCGGATTTTCTAATAATTTCGTA